CTTGTTCTCATTATTTACATAAAATGTATTATAAAATATGTTGTATCAGAAAAAATATATTTTAGATATTTTTTATTTTTTTTGAATTTTTATTTTCTAAAAATATTTTAACTGAATAAAATTTCAAATATCAAATAAAAAATTTTTAAATTAAAACTTATTTTTAATTCTAATTAAAAAAATTATATTTAAGCTAATAAAAAACATTTCCTAATAAACGTTTAAGAAATGTATAAACAGAATTTAGAAGAAAGCATGTATGTTTAGATAAGCAAGTAAAATGACAAGAACTGCAAAATAAATTAGAAATAGTCTCTTCTGTGTCAACTGTGTCAATTTAGATTGAATTTTTTTTAAAAACTCTTTTTTCTATATAATTAACCTATATTTTTCACTAAGCCATTTTCTTACTAGCCATGCTTTTTATATTATATTTTCTATTCGTTTTTGCGTTATCTATATTTACTCCTGATTTACTCCATACTACTTTAGAGACATTTGAACATAAATAAAACTATAAAACATATTCTAAAATTAACCATTATTGTGTATTTTACTCCTAATTTTATTTATTTTAAAATGTATACTTTTAATTCCAAAAAAATTCAAATGAATGGATAAATATTTATATAATTGTTGTCATTTCTAAAAAGAACATTTAAAAAGAATATTTAGAATAATAACTTGTAGAATAGAATAATCTATATTACAGTAATATCTAAAAATTTGACTGTATGAAAAGCCAAAAATATAAAATTAAAAATGATTTATGAAAAATATAAAAAATGTAAACTAAAAATTAATCACAAAAACAAATGTTTGAGATATTTATAAATTCAAAAAATTATAAATATTTTTTAAAAAAATATGTCTTATACATCAAAAACTAAAGAGAATTAAATTTTTTAAGGTTGATGAATATAAAATTCTTTTTAAATTCCAAAAAAATTAAAAAACAAGAAAATTTAAAACAAAAATTAAAAAAGTTAAAGCCAATAAAGCAATTTGCTGGAATTTACTAATATTAGAAGTATACAAAACTTGTACGAAATAAAAAAATAAAAATCCTAAACCAAAAATTGAAACACACAAAGGTACAAATAAATTTTAAAAGCCATAATAATTATTATTTAAAAAGCATTTTTACAATTTGAATTACTCTAGAATAGGAAAAATCAACAAAAAATGAACAAAAGGTTAAAAAAAACAAAAAAATACCATATAAATAATTTAAAATTTATATTTCAACTCTAAAACCAAAAATAAAAAATAAAAATGAATAAATTTATGAAATAGCTTTAAATAAAAAATAAAAAGTGAAAATCTTGACTATATTTTCAAGTTTTTTAGAAGCACTCGGAAAGTTAAATTCAAAAAATAAGACAAATGTAGAAAAAATCAAGACAATATTATTTATATCTATAAAAATGAAGTAAAAGATAGAGAATAATAATAAAGAGAGTATTAGAAAGTAAAAATCATAAAAAATATTAATAAAATTGTTATTTAAAATCTTTATTAAAAATATTTTTTTGTGAGAATTTACATATTAATATTAAAAATTAAAAACTCAACGAGAGTCAAAATATCTAAGTACAATACAGTACAATTCAAAATGGTACATATTTGCCTATTTATTTATTGTATTTTATTATTATCGTTTATCGCTATTTTTTAACTGAGAACGATATTTTTCGATGTCAAATGTGAAGCACTTTTTACAAAAATTATTATTTGTTACCATTATAGATGAAAGCATTTGCATTAGCCGGCTTTCTTGGCATAGCGTATGCTTTTTCAAAAAACATTGGTATTATATTTTATTTTTTCGGATTTTTAACTTTTTAGAATCTATTTATAAAGAATCTTTAAATCCATTACAAAATCCACCACAAAATCCACCACAAAATCCACCACAAAATCCACCACAAAATCCGTCACAAAATCCATTATTGTATATAACGTACAAAAACCTTTAAATAATACTAGAACTTGTAAAATTAACAAATTATTTATTTAGTGAAGGAAATATTTTTGCCTTAATTCTAAAAAATGCAATGAATACTGAATGTAAAGCAAGGCTAAGAAAATACTGTGAAAATTTAAGAAATATGACTCAAATTCTAGAAAGCTCCTTCCGTGTATTAAAAGAACTATGCGAAGAAAAAAAACTAGATGAAAAGTGCGATACTTTAAAAAAAACTATTACAGAAAAATGTACTATACTTAAACAAAGTTTAAAAAGTATCCGAAGTGAACCGTCCATAAGTTCTTATTGTTTGTATGAAAAAGAATGTATGCGTATAGAAGAAGCATGTCCAATAGAAGTTAATGAAGAATGCAATTATTTAAGAACATCATGTAGAAGAGAAAGAAGAGATAATCTGAAAACAGAATTTCTTTTAAGAGTCTTATCTGGCAATTTGAAAACTCAAGAAGAGTGTGAGAAAATAATTGACAAAAAATGTCTTGCATTCATGGGAGAAAGTGATGAATTGATGAAGTTTTGTCTGACTCCCTTAAATAGATGTGAAGATCTCATAAAATTAATGGAAGAAAAGTGCAGTAGTTTACAACTTAATGTAAAAATTTTTCTTATGGATATTAAAATATCAAAAGAAAAATGTAATTTATTACTCGAGGAATGTTACTTTCATAACTCAAATTGTAATAACACTCTTAATGATGAATGTAGAAAAATAGAAAAAAAGTGTGAAAATGAAGTAGAATACAAATATTTTTCTTTACCATTTAATCCAGTAGGAAAAGAAATTATATTAATAGAAAAAGTTGGAAAAGAAAAAATATTCAAAGACGAAGTTGGAAAACCAGGGATAAAGGATACAATTGATCTTTTAGTATTATTATTAAACAATTATTTTCATAACTGTAAAGCTAATATTGAAAGTTGTCATAAACTTTGCAGCCTTTTACCTCAATTAGAGGATTTATATGACAACACTAAGAAGAAAATGGATGAAAGCAAAAAAGAAATATGCGATACCTTAGAAAAAAGATTGAAACCTAAATGCAAGTCTTTTAAATCAAAATTATATGATTTATCGCTATCAGATACTAATGAAGACAATAAAGATGCTAC